ATGTTGAAGGGTCTTCTTTAAGAAGAAGCTAACGAACAAAAGAATCTGACAAACAAAATAGACCCAGAGACACTGACGCATGCAACAGTCATATTTAAGAGGGAAGGGGGGTGGAGGGTGGAAAGAGATTAACCAAAGAAGTTATACACATATATGCATAACCCAGGGACACAGACAATAACAGGGTGAAGGCCTGGGGAGAGGGTGGAAGTGAGGTGGATGGGGTCAATGGGGAAAAAATGTGACACCTGTAATACTTGCAACAATAATGATAAATTTAAAAATAAATTTTAAAATTTTAAAGTAATTTTAAAAAAGAAAAGTGAAAAACAAAAACACAATAAAAGTGACAAAGTTACCACATAATCCTAAAGGGATCAATCTAACAAGAGGATATAACCCTGGTAAACATATATGCACCCAATATAGGAGCACCTAAATATATAAAAAACTTCTGGAGGACTTTAACAGAAAGATCAACAGCAATGCAGTCATAGTAGGGGAATTTAATACCCCACTGACATCACTGGATAGATCTTTTAGAAAAAAAGCAACACAGAAAAACAACCTTAAATGACACATTAAATCAGATGGATTTAATTGATATACACAGAACATTTCATCTCAAAGTGGAAGAATATACATTCTTCTCAAGTGTACATGGAACATTTTCAAAGATAGACCACATGTTAGGACACAAAATAAGCCTTAACAAATTCAAGAATATTGAAATCATATCAAGTATAATCTCAGATCACAATGGCATGAAACTAAAAATCAAGTACAATAAAAACACTCTACAACATTCAAACACATGGAGGCTAAATAGCATGTTATTAAACAATGAATGGATTACCAATTAGATCAAGGAAGAAATAAAAATGTTCTTGGAAACAAACAAAAATGAACACAAAACAACCCAAAATCTGTGGGACACAGCGAAAGCCCTGAGAGGAAAGTCCTGAGAGGAAAGTTCATAGCACTACAGTCCTACCTCAAAAACAAACAAACAAACAAAAAAGAAAACAAGAAAAAGCTCAAATAAGCAATTTCATCCTACAGCTAAAGGAATTAGAAAGAGAACAAGAAAAGCCCAGAGTAGATAGAAGGAAGGAAATAATAAAGATCAGAGTAGAAATAAATGACATAGAACAAATCAATACAAAAAATCATTCAAGCCATGAGCTGATTCTTTAAAAAAAAAATAAACAAGATTGATGAACCTTTAGTCAGACTTATCAAGAAACAATGAGAGAGGACCCAAATAAATAAAATCAGAAACAAAGAGACGAAGTAACAACTGACATCACAGAAATACAAAGGATTGTAAAAAAATATGAACAACTATGTGCCAACAAACTGACAACATGGGCGAAATGGGCAAATCCCTCAAAACATACAATCTCCCAAAACTCAATCAGGAAGAATCAGAAAACCTAAATAGACCAATAACAACTGAAGCAATAATAAATTTTTAAAACTCCCAGAAAAAATTTCCTGGACCTGATGGCTTCACAGGTGAGTTTTATCAAACATTCAAAGAAAAACTAATGCCTATCATCAAACTATTCCAAAAAATTCAAGAGGCAGGAAAACTTTCAAGCTCTTTTTATGAGGCAAGCACTATCCTAATTCCAAAACCAGATAAAGACACTACAGTACAAAGAAGGAGAATTACAGGTCAATATCCCTGATGAACATAGATGCCAATATCCTCAGCAAAGTATTAGCAAATCATCAAACAATACATTAAACAGATCAAATACCATTACCTAATGGGATTTATTCTGGGGATGCAAGGCTGGTAGAATATTCACAAATCAATAAACTTGATATATCATATAAATGAAGTGAAGGATAAAAATCACATGATCATATCAATAGACAGAAAAATCACTCAACAAAATCCAGCACCCACTAATGGCAAAAACTCTGTGAAATGGGACTAGAGGGATCACACCTCAACATAATAAAGGCCATATATGACAAACCTACCGCCATCATACTCAATGGGCAAAAACTAATATTGTTCCCCTTAAGATCAGGAACAAGACAGGGATGTCCGCTTTCACCACTCTTATTCAACATAGTACTGGAAGTCCTAGCCACAGCCATCAGACAGGAAGAAAACATAAAAGGTATCCAAATTGAAAGGAGGAAACAAAACTGTCATTCGCAGATAACATTATATCGTACATAGAAAACCCTAAAGACTCCACCAAAAAAATCTGCTAGATTTAATAAATGAATTCAACAAAGTAGCAGGATATAAAATTAACATCCAGAAATTGGTGGCACTTTTATACATCCAAAATAAACCCTCAGAAACTAAAAAAACAATCTCATTTACCATTGCAACAACAAAAAATTAGGTTTTTGGAAATAAACTTAACCAAAGAGATAAAAGACCTGTACTCAGAAAACTAAAGGACATTAAAAAAAGAAATAGAGGAAGATACAAACAAATGGAAGCATATACCATGTTCATGCATTGGAAGAATTAACATCATTAAGATGTCCATACTATTCAAAGCAATCTTTATATTCAATGCAATCCCTATTAAAATACCAATGGCATATATCACAGATCTAGAACAAATATTCCAAAAAATTTTATGGAACCAAAAAAGACTCCAAACAACCTCAGGAATCTTGAGAAAGAACAAAGTTGGAGGGATCACAATACTGGATATCAAACTATACTACAAAGCCATTGTAATCAAAACAGCCTGGTCCAGGAACAGGCATACAGACCAAGGAAACAGAGAGGAGACCCCGGTAATCAACGCATGCCTTTATAGTAAATTAATATTTGATAAAGGAGGCAAGAGCCTACAATGGACTAATAATAGTCTCTTTAATAAACGGTGTTGGGGAAACTGGACAAGTATATGCAAAGTATTGCAACTAGATCACCAACTTACACCATACAGAAGAATAAACTCAAAATCGATAAAAGGTTTAAATGTAAGTCACAAAAGCATAAAAATACTAGAAGAAAACATAGATAGTAAAATCTCAGACATCTCATGTAGCAGTATTTTCACCAATAGATTTCCTAGGGCAAGAAAAACAAAGGAAAAAACAAATAAATGGGACTACATCAAACTAAAAAGCTTCCAGCAAAAGAAACCACCAAAAAAGCAACGGAAAAGGAACCCATTGTATGGGAGAAGATATTTGCCAAGGATACATCTGATAAGGGGTTAATTTCCAAAAGAACTTATACAACTCAACATCAGGAAGACAAACAATCCAATCAAAAAATGGGCAAAGGACCTGAATAGAAACTTCTCTAAAGAGGACATATGAAAAAATACTCAACATCACTAATCAGAGAGATGCAAATTAAAACTACAATGCAGTATCACTTCACACCTGTCAAAATGGCTCCATCAACAAATCAACAAACAAGTGCAGGCGAGAATGCAGACTGGCACAGCCACTATGGAAAACAGTGTGGGGTTTCCTCAAAAAACTAAAAATGGAGCTGCCTTTTGACCCAGTGATCCCACTTCTAGGATTATATCCTAAGAAACTAAGAAACCTGAAACACTAATCAGAAAGAATCTATGCACCCCTATGTTCATAGCAGTGCAATTTACAATAGCTAAGATCTGGAAACAGCCAAGTGCCCATCAGTAGATGAGTGGATTAAAAAAGCTGTGGGAATACTATGCAGCTGTAAAAAAGAAGGATCTCTTACCCTTTGAGACAGCAAGGAGGGACCTGGAGAGTATTATGCTAAGCGAAATAAGCCAGATAGAGAAAGCAAATATGACATGATCTCACTCATATGTGGAATCTAATGAGCAAAATAAACTGACAAACAAAATAGGTCCAGAGGCATGGAAACATGGAACAGACTGACAGATCTCAGAGGCGAGGGGTATGGAGGGGACGGGAAGAGATTAGCCAAAGAACATATATGCATATGTGGACACAGACAATAGTGTGGGGAAGACCTGGGGCTGGGGTGGTGGGGAGGGG